TCAATTCATGATACCAGAAAGCTAATTTTCTGGAAACAATAATTTTGATTAGAAATTCTCTTTTTGAAAAATTATATTGTTTTTATGCCAATTTCATTCAATCTTTGAGAAATAATCATTAATTATTTTGACAATCTTGCAAATCTCTAACCAATTAAAGCTGGACATTTAAGAGGCTGAGTACTATAAAGATCTTTCAAGATGCAAAGTGTCATTCCTTCATGATAAAATGTTGTACAGAACTATTTTACAGTGTATATGCACTAAGACAAAAGCAGGAAGAATAGATTTTTCAAGATGAAGGAGACAACCTGACACAGGTCATAATGAATTATAGGATATCTTTAACTGTTTCCATTTACATAATTCAAATGCATCTCAGCACTTTTCACATCATAATATTCAGGTAATGCAGCAATGTGCATCCAAATTATACACTTAAAATACGGCAGTTAAGCTAACGTAAAATACGTTAGTTAAGAATGTTTCTACAAAGATAAGTGGAAAACAGAAGAAATTTTCTCTAAATGCAACAAGATGCTTTTGAAATAAAAGAAAAATCACAATCAACATGCATCTCTTAAGTGCTTGCTTACAGAAGGCATACTTTAGCCTGCCAGCCTCATATTATATGAACCGTGGTTGAATTAAATGACTCTGATAAAAGGTTACACTTCACTATCAAAGTTCTAGATCAGAAGGATTGAATTTCCTGCAAGATGCACATTTCCCGACTTCCAACGCACTCTCCTCTTGATGACAGTACAAGGTCAATTTTAGATATGCTTGTGTGCCTAAGTACTATTGTGGCAGTAACAAAAGATTTATTAATGTTAGACATTTAACAAACCACAATAGAACAGCGCACAAAGCCTTTCCTAAAAACATTTTTGTCTTAGAGTTTAAAATAAAATCTCAAAAAAGGCTGGATTTTATTGAACTGAATAATTTGTAATTGAACTGGGAGCTTTTAAAAATATTTGTGTACATTAGGTACAAAACGTTGTATAAAAGAAATGTAGATCATTCTTACAATTCATTTTATTTAAAATAAAATCTCAAAAAAGGATAGATTTTATTGAACCAAATAATTTTTAATTGAACTGGGAGCTTTTAAAAATGTTTGTATACATTAGGTACAAAACCTTATATTAAAGAGACTTAGAGCATTCTTTCAACACATTTTATTTGACAATTTTATAGAAATTTCAAAAGTAGTCCCTTGTAATTGTTTGGGAATCATTTATCTCCTCATTCCTCTTGTGTTACTAAGTTGAATAAACCACCTCCTGGCTCAGAGGGCAAGATGCTCCTCAGGAGGGCTTACAGAGCCAGAAGAGTCAGTTCCTAGATAGGACAGTATCACTGAGCAGAGCAATGGAGTTCTAATGCAGAGAAACGTAAAGTATGGCAGCCAGTATAGCTGGGAACAGGCACCCAAGAATGGTACTGGAATAGCAAAAGGTGAACTTGGAAGAGCTCTAGGAGAAGATTAAACCTGTTCAACCAATGCAAAGCAAGAAAACAAATATTAAAATATATAATTACAAGGCCAAAACAGTGGAATACAAATTAATGAAAGTCTATGTGTGCAGTGTTCCTGTCAGACTTTGGAATACTGTTTCCAAATTGTCAACCAACACAAAAAACACATTACAGTAAATATGTTAATTCATGAGAGTGATCCTTAATGTCAGGGGACTGAATTTGAAGAATGATTGGAGAATCATGGTCTATGCTGTGATGAAATTTTTTTCTTAGGGCTGATCACATAAATATATGGTAATTAAGGAAGGGAAAAGATTAATTTTGAGAGGCTGTATTATTTTAAACTTAATTGCAATAAACAGGATAGACTTTTAAAAAGGCAAATGCAGAACTGAAAGAAAGAACATTTTCAAAAAGAGGATGATCAATGTATGCAGTACTTCTCCAGGATAAGTAGAGGGGTTGAAATTCTTCGAATTTTTAAAGCAATACGTGAATATTGAAATGGAGGTATTTCAGAATCTTTTTGGGAGAGATCATTTAAGATGGACTAAATGGGTTTTCTTATCCATAATTGTCATGTGATCTGTGCACTATCATACATATCAGATTTCCATCTTAGCTTTCCTGCATTCTACTGGGGCAGATTTGCAACTTCACTTGCTGTTTCTCTAGGATGTTAGAGCTGAATTTGAGTAACAAATTGAGTAATATCTTTCTAAACAATAACAGGAATGTCAAGATATTAGCATAACTCATTGGTGGCTAGCTAATTTCAAAAATTTATAGCTTTGAAACATTTGTAGAATTAAGCTATTTTGGGTAATTTTGACTTAAGAAAGTGAGATATTAAATTATGCTTTGTTTATCAGTGGGAGTTGTAAAATACTATTTGTAAGAAAGAACAGCCATATGGCCCAAGTCAAAAGTAAGCTTATGTTTTATGGCTGCTTTTGCGGTCATGTGAATATATACTTAGGCTAACAAGTGTGAAGATGTTTAAAATGCCTTTTACTCAAGAAGATAAATATGTTTTAAAATGGTTCAGTTTTAGGACTTCAGTAATGTGATAGACTTATGTACATTAGTTTTGTATGACTGTTTTGAGCCTTCATTTGTTTCAAACATCAACATGTGTGGGCTGACACATTGTTCTTGTAGTTAAAGGAAGTGGATTGGTTTTGGAGGATATTTATATGCATCAATTGGGATGTTTGGAATGAAAGTTAATCACCAAGGGGTGACAACACATACTCCAAGTAAAATCCTAAAGTTCCACATTATCAGTAAAAGGCAAAAATGTTAGTAAGTTGATATAGACAAGCTGTTACAAAATGGGTGATCTTACAAACTAATTGGCATGTCAGAGAGTGAATCAGGAGATGGTGGGCAGTGACGTCATGTTGTAATGGCAAAAAAGGTTTATTAAGCAACAATTCATAGTGGTTCAGTAAATGAAAAGAAAGTCCAAAGACAAAAGGAGAGCTTCAGTCAGCAGAAGAGAATATGAGACGTGGGCCCAATTAAGCCGAAGTGTATTTGGTGTCCTGAAGTGGATTGACTGAAAACTATTGTTTTTATTGAGTATTATTTCATTTGTATTTGTTATGACAAATATAATAAATGTCAATCACTACATTCACTATCGGAAAATGAATCTCCCTTTCATGAGAGCTCATTTAATACATTTAAATATATGTCAAATAATCAATAACTGATTAAAACAGATAGTTTCATCCATAATTCCGCACAAAAGACAGCTAATCCTTTAATAACCTCTGAGTTGCAAATCAACCTGTGAACTTACAAATCCCTACTGTAATAATGATAAATAGTGGAAAACAGCCAAGCATTATAATGGAATAAACATAACAATTAGTATTGCGTTAGTGAACAGCATTGTAAACCTCTGAGACAGTATTCTTTTCAACCTTTACATACACAGGCAGGCATTTTTAAAAACTTGAAAGATTAACAGTTCTTTGTACCTTATCCACTCTTCAGGAGCTTGTAGGACAACTATAAACAATTGGAACTCCCACAGGATAAGACCTTTGCTACGGTTAAAATGGAATCTGTCTGAACTCAAGACAGAATCCAAATGGGCCAACTGAGTTCAAGTTTCCCATAGGTAGGAGTCGCTTTCCATACCCATTCCCCAATCTTAAGAGAAAATGGTTCCTGCCAGATGTAGCTACGGGACCTCCATATCTGGGCCCATCTATTACTTTAGATATGCCATGGAATCTCCACTGCACCACAAAAATCAAGGCCAAAGTTCATAAAGGTAATTGTGGTGAGAGGAATTTTGTACAGTAGCACTCAATTAACTGTGAGAACACTTAAATCTTCTGACCTAAACACACACACACTGTTAATCTTTATAAGACAGCATTGTTGATGCATGTTTAGTGGGGACAGGGTAACCCCAAGTACACAAATAAAAAGCAGCAAGTGAGACAACTCAAAAAAAAATCATTGATAACCATTCAGAACATCTGGAAGAATAGACAAGCCTAAAAGAGATGAATATTGTTGTTGTTGTTGTATTTTAGAATTAGAGAGAAGGTAGTTTTTTTAAGTCATATACAGAAAGAACTATGCTCGCAAAGTAAATGTGAACCATTTCACATTGCAATATGTCCTAACGAATGAAAGTACTTGGACTACACAAGTTATGCTGTGTACTGAAGAAAACACATTGTAGTGATAAGTCTCTATGCACAAAATAACCCTCTCTCAAAATCAGTGTCCTCATCTTAAAGACCAAAATTTACAGTTAAATTAACAGAACAGGCACTGGACAATCTACCAGGACAAGTAACTAAATATAAACAAGATTACTAACTTTTTTGGAAGGATATATTATAACATATAAAAGATTAAATTGACTAGGGGATTGTACAGAATTACTTGCATGTTCTGAGATCATCCACCCTTAACGGATGCACAGTACTAAAGCATGCAAGGATGCGCATTTATACAACATACAATACTGTCTCTTCCAGTGAATCTCCATGATCTATAAGGGCCATACACATCTTATCACTTCCCACAGTATCAAATGTTAGCACCCCGTACTGAAATAGGATTGGGTGCACTCAGTACTGAATGATTACGGCGATGATGAGGAGGAGTCATAACAATTCTTCTCCTTCATTACTAAAGATGATATGGCTAATTCATACTACTGGTCCGCTATGCTACACGGTGATACAGCTTCTAATGGGCCTGTTAGAAATATTCATCACAGCAGCGACAAGCACCAATTTCACCAACAGTTTTTAAGCCTATTTTTTGTACTTTTTTTAACTCAAATTTAGAAAAGAAAAAAAAAGACCTACATTTGGAGGCAATTTTCTGAACAATTCATGCTGATTTTATCTTCTCATAGTTTCCACAAATAGTCATTCATGTTTAAACAGTACAATCCTTGCAAATTTACCCCTCTGTGACTTGGGTTTAACCTGGGATAATACGTTGCCAAAAACTACAAGAATGTTGAATTTTACCTTTAGGTTCCCTTGGTTGTCATAACTTAAATCTTGCCAATTAGATGGGTTCCCTAGAGATGGATCACTCAGCTGCCACAGTTCAACATAGCTTTCATGTGGATTTGTATCACCTTCACCCTCAGAATCAATTAGCGACTCCTGCTGCAATTAAGGAATATTCATGACAATACTATGAGAACAGAGAAATATGACTAAAAGTAATATCTGGATAAAATTATATTTTTTTCAGTTATTATTGAGATTGTGCCATTATTGAGATTATACACAAATGTCATGAATGGATATTTATCAATTGTATGCACTTTGGTATCAGTCTAATAATTAGTGAAAGGTAATACTACAACAATAAGTTAAATCAACATCTGTAATTTGAAAAGTGTATTTTATAATACAAGAGACAAGCCCTAACATGCCAATAGGAGTATTTTATCTATTAAAGTTAACATTATTCAGGAATTGACAAAAAAGGGAGTCTTTGCATGACAAAGTACGTAAATCAGGCCAGCAAAGAAAAATTATCTACTTAATATTTATATAAATTATTGTTATTTTAATTGACGAGTCATAGGAACTGATGCATGTTATAACATATTGTGAGGTGTCCAAAATAAGTGATATATCCAAATGGTTTTATGAAGCAATACTGGTGCCAAAAGTGCATTATTTAAATGCAACAAAACTGGAATATACTGGAAACATTTAACACTTACTTGAAAGCTATTGACCCTGAAGTGCCACTTATTTTATTTTTAAATCCTTTTCTGAATCTTGTCATCTCCCTGTTATAACAGTTGGGTCCCACTCTGATGTTCAGAAATTGTTCACGTCACAGAAGGGCTTACCCAAGTTATGGAAAATGGTTTGTGGCCTCATCCAGGCACTAGAAGGTGGAGGAGGTAGGATGTGAAGAAAGGGGTGTTTTTCTACACTGTAATTATGCTAGCAGAACTGTTCCTATCCAGTTTTTAGGTTATTGTACCATAGCCATGTTTTAAGATAATTTCTTACTTTTAAAATGGCTTATCATATGCTAAATTGTAGACCATAAATATACCAAAATAAAATTTAGTAAATTTATCTTTACTTATTCTGAGTAAGATTATTAGCAACTGTCCTTTTGTCAGAAGATGAGGTTGAAAGAGTTTGAACTTACATGAATTTCACTTTGAATCTCTGCGGCTGGCTTCATTTTATAATTCATTCCGAGGTTTGCCTGAGCCCTGATAGAGTTGCTAGGAAATACAGAGCCATGGGAGTTGCCCTTAGACATGTTCCCGCAGGAAACATGATTTGATCCATTTTCCTTCTGATGAACAGCCTTCTTATCAACTCTGCAGGTAAAAGCGATTCCACTGATGAATTGCACCATCCTTCTTCAATCAGTCAATTGCTCATTTCACTTTAATGCTGTAAGTAACCCTGTTGTATCTTTCTGTCACCAGAACTTTGAATGATAAATGCGTCTGACTTATCCTTGACATAATCTGCCTATTGCAATTTGCATTAAAAATATTCATAACTGGTCTGTATGAAAGTTTGTCTGTTGTGAAACTCCAGTGAATAAGTCACACTGATACACAGTCATTGCCTATGCTGACATTATACTTATGACATTACACACAACAGTTTTCAGTATTTGTCTATATACATAACACACACCCATGTGGATAAATTATCTGAAAAAAGGTACCCAGTTCGAATAATAATAAAAATCAAAAGATAAATGCATAAATGGATTTTTTAAGAATAACAAATGTAATTAAAAGTAAACTTAAAATACCTTCTATAAATTCACTCACATGCACTTTAATTGTTACAGTAAGATTATACGTTACATCTGGATTTTAGGATGACAAATAGGTCAAGTATTAAAATCTCAAGGGAAATGCATATCTTGACAAACAGTTATTTTATCTCGAATAACCCAGATTTTGCTATAATGGGACACCAACAAGGTTTGCCATTGATTTGACTTTTTAAAAATGTTATCACTGTTATACATTATTATGTTTTAAAATTTTTTGGGTGCCAAATTGCTGAACATGCAAGTTGATAACAATGCATGGAACGAAACCAGGCATCTGGGACCTAAGTGAACAGGGCAAGCAACAATTAAATCACCTTAATCAATCAGATCAATGGATTGTGTAATTAACAGCATAAGGACTAAGAACAATGTATAAATTACAGTAGAAGAATTCAATGTCAACTCAGGTAAAAAGAGAGCAAAGGACAATTAGGGCAATGGATGGAGGGAGGGAGGGAGGAAGAGAGAGAGAGAAAGACAGAATGGAAAAGCCAAAAATAAAAATCACAACTTAAAACTTGCAGGAATGATGCTTCAGGTATGTATTTGTTCATTTTTAAGTATATGTTGGACATATATCCAGTGTAGGTGGAGCTGGAACTTGGACTTTCTGACCTAGTCAGAAGTCACACGATACCCGGTTACAGTCCAACAGGTTTATTTGAAATCACAAACTTTTGGAGCGTAGCGTCTTCATCACAAGAAGGACGAAGGGGCCATGTTCTGAAACCTTGAAATTTCAAATAAATCTGTTGGACTGTAACCTGGTGTCGTGTGACTTCTGACTTTGTCCACCCCAGTCCAACACCAGCAATTCTACGTCATTTCTGACCCAGACGCAGGGATGCTACCATTATGCCACAAGAGCCTTCTGAAGTTGTTATACTATTATGCAGAAACATCAGAGGGGACTATTAGTCCCATTCATTTATTGATAAGAAATTCTGGACCAATAAGTTACGGAATGTTTACATTCTGAAACTGTCTGTCAAATATCATAGAACCGTAGTATCCCCACAGTGCACAAGGAGGCCATTCAGCCCATCAACTGCACCAACCCTCTGAAAAGTATTCCACCCAGATCTATCAACTCCCCAACGTTTCCCCATAACTCTGCACACATTTGCTAATCCACCTAACCTGCACATCCCTGGACACCACAGGGCAATTTTAGCATGGTCAATCCACCTATACCGCACATTGTTGGCCTGTTATCTCACAGTAGTAACTCTGATGCAGATGGTGAACAAATCAAATTTTACCAATGAAGCGCATTATGCAATAAATACAACACATGGGATCTTGAAATGCCTTTGATAAAATTAAAAGGCATTGCTTAAGGCTACGAGTCTCAGAGTTAACATTCACTGAATAGAGAAATAATTTCATCTGTTTTTTATACAGATGAGCTTCAGGAATAAGTAATTTATACACTGGCTATGTGATTTCTGTTTCATATCAGGGTGTACAGAAATTGGTAACAAACCAGGGGTCAACAGTGTTGATACAAAAGTAGATGTTGTTGAATTAAACTTTGTTGCAAAGACTTGAATATTTGCCTAGTATTAAGGAACATTTATTTTTAACAGGTGGGTTTTTACCTTTCAATTGCATATCAAGTTAAAATTAATTCAAATGCAACTGTCACATACCTAGTCATTAGATTTCTTGGCCGGGAATAATTTTATAGGCGTAAAATTAACACAATGAGCGCTAATTTCAGTAACCAACATCTTAATAAGAAAGGATGGTGGTCAAGTTGTCTGACTCATTATTGGGTCAACCTGTTCTCCAAGAGTTTATAGCAGCTGCCTAAAACAAGCATTAGGCTATTTACAAATGGAAATTAGGATCTTAATCACCACTTTAGATGTTCTTGTGAAAATTGGTTGGCTATCATTGAAACAGCCATGGGACCCATTTCGCTTTGGATTTTCATTGGTCCATGCAGTCAGCAAAAGAAACGCAGCTTCATTTCTCTTTACAAGTATATCGAAGATCCTGGCTATGCTGTCAGAAGAACAGAAGTGCCTTCTCTCTTCACAGTATGCATCAACAGTCACCGCTTCCCTCTCAATTGTCAATTTGACACAACCCCTCAAATTTATCTTATGTCGTTGGCAGCACCACGAGCAGCCTGCATCTAGCTTTGGAAGAGGAACAGGTTACCCTGTGGAGGTGAGACAGGCAACCCAAAGCAAACAAATGAAATCTGAGATTTCAGTTTCAGAGTGGCCTATAGCATTCCATTTAAGATGGTCAGTGTTGGTGCACTGAGGGTGTGAACCTGAAATGGACTATATTATCAATTTCCGTCCATCATATTTAATTTCAATTAATACACTTAAACTTTATGTTGCTGAAATTTAAACTAAACTAAAGAACAGTGAAGCATCAAATAGCACAAAAGAAATTCAAGTGTAATCATCCCTTTTGCTATTTAAAGCTATAAGAACAGGGATACAAATTGATGGAAAAGCTCAACATGTCTGGTAGCATCTGTGGAGAGAAATCAGAGTTAACATTAACTTTGATTTCACTCCACAGATGCTGCAAACCTGCTGAGCTTATCCAGCAATTTCTATTTTTGCCTCTCAATTACAGCATTTCAGTTTTTATTTCATAAGAGCAGGGAGTTGGAATAAAGATGCCTGCTGATAAATAATATTATGTTACACAATATTATCATGAAAAGTTGAAGTATCAAATCTAGTAAAACAATATTTAAGATGAAATAATTAAGATTGTTACCTGTGCAGGAGCTCCTTCATGAACTGGTCATTTGTTGAATCTTTTATTGGAACATCATGATCTTTATAGCCATGGTGTTTTGATGCAAGGCCACTTTTTCTACTGTTGTGTGTTTCATGCAGTGCAATCTCACAACTTTTGCTTGGAGCAGCACCATCTAATTTTTTACTAAAGTTGGTTTCTTTTTTCATAACTTCGTTATTGTCACAGGCTTTGTTATTTTTTCTTTTGTCTTTTCTTTTGTCAAATTTTGTTTGCTTCATTTCTGAACCATTTTTGGTTTCTTTCTTTTCATCTTTGAATTTTGAAGCATCGGACTTTTTGTTATTCGGAGCTGGCAACTTGCTTTTCCGAAACCCAAACCACTTGGCTATCGAAGGTCCAGTCTTTTGTTTTATCTCTGAAAACTGAAACTTGTCTTGTCCTTGCACCTTCTGCATATTTTGTTGAATTCCCAACATGACTTTCGCTTCAATGCTACATTGCGTCCCAGAAGCGGGAGTAGAAATGGTTACTTTGTCTGAAGTTTCAGGCTTTTTTGAGAGGTTCTCTTGTTTCTTGACAACTTTTACCATATTAACTTTGGAGGGACTCTGTGATTTGCTCATATTTTCCAATGGAGAGTTATGCGGTGAAGATTGATGCTCATTTCCTGTCTTCCCTTTCTGAGGCATTGGTTTGGACTTTTTCTCACTGGATTTATCACTTAGAGGCAGACTTTGAACTTCTTTCTGAGGTGGAGACTGGCTGCCATCACACTTAAAAGAACTGAGATGGCCATCTCCCTTTGGTGGAGTTCTACAAGGTAACTTGCTCGGACTGCTGTGATGGCTGCTGGAGCTGCTTACACTTCCATAGGACACTTGGCGTGAATAGGAAAAATCCCCTATTCTTGGAGAATGTGAAGGGCTTTGAGTAGCTGATGAACTATTGGCAGGTTTTGTTTGCATTGCTTCTGTTGCACCGGTAGAGTTCTGCCTTGTCAGTGAATTGCCTCTTTCTGTTGTGTTTGTAATTATCTGTGTTCGCACCTTTCCTGGCCCATCGACCATTGAAACAAAAGGTTTCTCCCCAGTCTGATTGCTAAAGCTCTGGCTTCGAGCTTTGGCACCATTCATGCCTAGGGCTGGTTTCAGGTTTGGTTTGCTATTAGCTGAAACTGACCTCTTAAATGCCTTAATTTCTATGCTGTCAACATCATTCCCATCGGCTATGCGTCTATCAGGTTTCATTTTATCCTCAAAGTCTGTAGGAAAACCTACTTTAACAACAAGGTCATCTTGAAGGTCACCACTTTTCTTGAAGTCAACTAATGAATCTGGTTGTTCTAGAGATTTTATATTTTTTGATATATCAGCCTGCTTAGATTTTACTGGAATTATATTTCCCTTTGAGTAAATATTAATAGTATCTTTCTCATGCTTCCCGGGTACAGTTGAACTTTTTCTCAGTAATGGGGGAGACTTTAAAAATCCTTTTAATCCAACAGGAATGCGAGTTTTCAAGTTTTTTTCATCAGAGTAGTAAATATTACTAGGACAAGGAGATGACAGACCAGAAGGCAATGGCTGAGATGTTGGTTCATTTATATCTGAGGCATGACACTGTGAGGATGTTGATAAAACATTGGATGGTTTGCATTGTAACATCAACTTACTTTCACATAATTGCACTGCGTTGGCAGAGAAGGTATTTTGTAGAGATGGATGCTTTTGGTTTGCATGAATGCATGCTAAACTTCTAATTGCTTTACCAGCGGTTTGAGGACAAGGTTGAATGTTCACTGATGCGGAAGTACTTGAACAATTTGCTTTCGGATATCGCTTTTCAAAACAGCCCATTGTCAAATCTTTAACGCCTCCATTTGATTCCTGGGATTGTTGTACTGAGTTTTGAAACGAGTTTCTTTCATGATGGGAACTGCATACATCAGCCACTTCTGGGGCCTTCTGAGTTTGCTGACTTTGTACTTCTTTAGTCAATTGGACACAAGTTGACACAGAACTTGTAATCCTATGTGTGTTTAAAGATGCAGGTGTATCATTGTTTGTGTCAACAGGAATAGGTACTTCAGTTTTTGTCATTATATTCAGCGAACGTTCACAATTTGGTCTAAATAGTAATGAAGTAGATCTCCCTGGTGGGGGTGGAGGTGATGGAGAATTGATTTCTTCTTGTTTCAAATGATCATATTTATCTCGTGTGGGATGTTCTCCATGATCTGTCATCTGTCTTCTGGATAATAAAGATCCTTCCACCATATTGGTATGGCTCTTTTCTGTTTCGCTGTGGAATGTAACTTTAGAGTTTTGGGGAAGCTGTGGGTTATATTTTGGAATGTCAGAACCATCTTTTAAACAGTGACTAATATTAATACTTGGCATTTTTAAATGCTTGGAAAGTTTTGCATTTGATAATGATTGCGACTTGTCTTGGATAAGAGAAGGAGATGTTGAAAATGTATTGCTAACATCAGTGCTGTTTAGTTTAGAGGCCTTCTGCAGCGAGCTTTTACCTCTGCTAGGTATTTTGCTTAGACGTGGCTTTTGAGTTGAATATGTCTGCAGGGAAGATACACAGTTTGATTTATAGGCTGCATTAAAAGTTGGCTTCAATAATTTTTCCTGTTGAAAAATATCTGGTGTCAATGGCCTGTCAGAGTTTACAGAATCTGTATGAACACTAGAACTAAGTATTGTCTTGTTGACATTAGGATCTTCTAGCTGTTTTTGCTCGGCATGACCTTGCAATGACTCTAAAACTGTATAATTCCTTGCATCACTTCCTCCTTGACAACCCATCAGCCCTTGAGTCATCAAGGCAGCATCTTTAGCAAAAATAGTTTGCTGGTGATTCCCATCTAAAGCAATTGGACTAGAAGTTTCATTTGAAGACACAGTGACACTTGCTATCTGCTGGGAATTAAATTTAATTGGCTGACCATCTTCAGCATCAAACACTATTGTAAGGCATTCAGCAGATGACGTTTTTACAGACTTGTTGGACTGACAATTCTCTTTCAATAAGTTCAAAGTCTTTGGCCTGTTGTCAGAGCAACTTGAAAAATGGCCTTCATCTTTATCTGCAGATGAGAAAAATGTGTTTTTGCAACTGAGTGAGTTTGCATGACTCACTGACCGTTTGTCAGTTAATAAACTTGTTACAAAATCAGAAGGATTTATTTCTTCCTTGCATTCCAGATGCACTTCATCTAACATTTCAATATCTTCAGTGTCAGATAGCTGGATAGTTAAATCTTTACTTTGTGGTTTGGTCAGATTGAACTGCAATTTCTTTGCAGGTGACTTGTTGCTCGTACACAGTTTTTCATTTGACTGAAAGCTACTGACGAAACTAGTCAACTTTTCAGGCATTTCTCTTGAGTTTGTGTGTGTAAGCCTTTCTGAAACACATTTTACACTGCCATCCCAACTGAACAGACTATCAGACACACTGTGCGTTAGTTTATTATGGAATGATTTGCAGTCTCTATTTGGCACCTCAGTTTCGGTGGTTATGATCGCTGCACAGTCATCATCTGGATCATCATGTGAATCAGAATCATACCCAAATATTTTACTTTGCTCTAGGCACAGGTCTTTATTGGTAGCTTTAAAATGTGCTTGATCTTTAATCTTGCAGCGATTCTGACATTTTAGGCCAAGAGAGTAAATCCCTTCATTTGAGTTCATGCAATCCTTGTAAGCCCATTTTGACACGAATGAGGATGACTCTGACGGAGGTTTTTTCTTTTGTAGCTTCTTTAATCCTTCCAGGATGTGGCTTTCTTTCTCTCGAATTGGAGGTAGTTCTTCAGCGGGACTGGAAAGATTGCTGGGAAGTGAGGAGCCAATACTGAGTCTTTTTTCCCAGCTTAGAGAAGACTATAAATGAAAAGAAAAACATTACTAATTTAATCAACAAATTAGGATAATTATTTATATCAGGGGATGATCCCAATATTCTTACGAAGCGATAACTGATTCTTACAAAATGGTTAATGATAATAGAATATGCCATATTTTCTTTACTCATTGGAAACAAATAAAGCACAAGTAAAAAGACAAAAGCATGGGTAAAGAAACAGGCTACCATAGTCATCCATTCTTGTTATTTGAGAGTTGGTGTACATGTAGGGATCTGTTGTAGTTGTTAATTTTTATAATTCATTCACAGGATGAAGGCATCGCTGGCTAGGCCAGAATTTATTACACACCCCTAATTGCCCAGAGGGCAGTTAAGAGTCAACTACATTGCTGTGGGTCTGAAGTCGCATGTAAGGATGGCAGCTTCTTTCATTAGCAAACCAGACGAATTTTTCCAAACAATTACCAACTGTTTTGTGGTCATCTTTAGACACTTAATTCCAGATTTAAAAAAAATTGAATTCAAATTCTATCATCTACCAAGGCATGATTTGAACCCAGGTCCCCAAAACATTACCTGGGTCTCTGGATTAACAGCCCAGCGATAATACCACTAGGCCATTGCCTTCCCTATCTGCCTACTTATTTGTAGTGCTGTCCTTTTTTAGACTTGCTAAATTATGACTTATTCTTGGCATAAAAGTCCTGAATATTTGCCCCAGTCAAAGTTGAAGAATGAATGACAAAGGACAGTATTTCAGACAAAACACAATTTTCTTGGGAGTCTGTTTCTTATTCTGCATGAAACATTTTCTGCTTGTGGGTGTAATAGATTAATTTTCTATCCAAAGTCCTTTATTATAGTGATATAACTAGGAGTTTCATTGGTTCCCTAGAACATTTTTTCACTTTACACCCTCAGGCCTCCATTGAACTAAGGGCTTGTTGGTATTCATCCAGTTAAGGCCAGTAAGCAGATCCCAAACCATGTACATTTTATTCCAAAGGGGTTCAAAAGCCTTTTGCTCAATGAGGATCATGAGGCGAGAAAAGGTAACTAATTTTTGTGGTGTTGTTGATCCTCCTCTCCATTGTTAGGAAGGTGGAACACCATTCAAACATTTCAGCAGACATTCAGCTTCAGTAATGACGATGTACTCTTAACAGCAATATACACCCGTGTTGTCATTGTAGATGACACCATTCCCTGGATTCGGGACAATGACTGCAGCCTACGGATAAAGCAGACAACTGTTTCACTCTGTTGCTGTTGTGTCAACAGAGTGTTTCCCTAGAACTCTGGGCTTAATGCTCTTAAAACTGTTTAATAGAAAGTGCTATTCTTAGCCAAGTGCATTAACGTTCTTGAAACGTGGTTGTCAGATGAAGTTCATTCAGTAGGACTCAAACTGTACCCTCTTACTGCATGTCTTTCCTTCATTCCAAGTAAAGGATCCACTTGAATGTTCACTGCAGGCACTTGAGAGAGAGAGTTCACTGCTGCTACAGCTGCTCCTGGGATAAAGTTGACTTGGTACTGGCAGATTTAATTGACTCTGGCACTTTAAAATAGTTGGGATGTTCTCCAGAGCTCCCTGTTAATACAAAAATGGTATACTAGTCACATAGTGGAATTGCTCCCCGCTATATGAAACTGCCTCCACATTCACTACGAACATATCAGTTCTAATATACAAACAGTCATTTTTATCTCACTTTAAGCCTTTGAAGTGTCATTCCCCATTATATGACTGGATTTCAATGCTGAGGCTAGTGAATATAAAAATGTAACAAAAAGAATAATTTCTATCCTTTCAGTTCATGCTGTCTTTGTTTGAAGAGCTGATGTGACTACCTTTCCATCGTTGTCCTATTCCAAACCTATTTCCCTATACTCTTACGGAATAAAGGTCAAACCAATCACCTGACATTGTGAGGCTCATCACCATGTAGCAATAGAATACAGGATCCCAAGAAGAAGAAAATAAATTGTGTAAATTGTGGAAATCTATTTACTTTAGAAACAAGCAGATCTGTCAGGAGTGGGTTTAAAAAAAGAAAGTAATATTTTACATATAGATCTTGGTTCAATTTTGACAAAACATTAATCCATCTTTTCCAGTTTCATTTATGATTTCTACCCCCCCTTCCCCTTCCCCTTTCCCCATTTTCTGGGATTAATTTGTGGGTTGCAAAGTTTCTCAATTTGATCTTTATTGAAAATTAAATATATACATGAATGATTCTAAGCAGCAGAATTCAGAGCCAAAAGCCAAACTTTATAGGTATTTCTCACATTAGCCTAATGTAATATACCAACTCTACATTTTCCCACGAAAATCTATTCTCACAAATCAGTTCCAAACTTCGATAAATGTGTTACTTTCAATGGTAATGATTTCCATCTTGTTCAAATCGATACATGTTTAAAAAATTAAAATGTCATTACCACAATCTGAGGGAAAAAAATGCAGGTTTCTGTTATACAGATCAAAACTCATGTTCATTGTCTTTCATAAAGCAGAGAATTGTGATTCAATTGATTTGATGTTGTCCGGGTACTGCAATACAGCCCAACCTCTTAGATTCTAGGGAAATCATATGCAGAGCACATTACAAGCAAGCAAAGCCATTCAGGGTCTCATTTCAAGGTTATAAATGGAATATATGGAACATCATATTTAATAAATCTGGCTGATTTGGTGGAATGCTGCTGGACCTCATCATATATTCACGGCTGGGCTAGCAGATTATGTAATTTTCAATTAACAGGCCTTCAGCTTGAATGTCTGTATTTGGTTTTAATACTTGACATCCTAGTGGGAAAATTGAAAATCACAGAAAGCCAAATGCAGGTTAAATGGTTACTTTGACAACATCTCCATGGTGACCGTAAAAGAGAGCCTCAGCTTTATGTATCTTGCCACTTCATTTCTTTTTCCAATTCCCACTTTGATTGTGCTGTCATTGGTCTCGTATGGAGTCCTGGCAAAGCTCAACACAGACATCCAGGAGCAGAATCAGTGGATGTTGGTAATATGAGGTGGACCAATTGATGCCCACTCAGAGAAAAGAATGTTGGTATTTAATTCTTAGATATGCTACCAAGTGGGTATGGGTGGAATTAGGAATTGGGCCCTTAGCTGTTTTTGTTTTCCATTTGTGTAGGACATTGGACCTGCTGTCCTTTACCACAGTTGTTGACTGACTTACGTACTTTCAATCTAATCTTATTTTGTATCTAATTTCATATAATTGAAGCTTCAATTTTCTTGCATTACCTGGCGATCATAGATTTTATGCTTTTCCTGCAAGATATTTTATGACAGTTCATTGCCTAGTGCTGAACGGTATTGATACATTAATTTCCTGGGAAACGTTACAAAAAAGTGGACAGGCTAGATTGGGATAATAGAATATTTGAATGCTTATTTCATTTAAAACAAAAACAGAAGTTGCTGGAAAAGCTCAGCAGGTCTGCCAGAATCTGTGAAGAGAAATCAGAGTTAACTTTTTGGGTCCAGTGACCCTTCCTCAAATCACTATTTATCTATTTTACTTAACTTGTTTCTGGAATAAGCCATAGCACTTTGCCCTCCTTTTTAAAAAAAATGAAAGGTGAAAAGTATCCTTAGCTGGGGAGAAACAGACTGACCAGATCATGCAGATCATGTGATTTATATGCTTACAAGTATGAGAGCTCAAAATAATAAAATTAATGTTTACCTGGTTGTGCCACAAACACAATAATCTGGAGTAGATCCAATAGGCTGGACAATGGGTGTCTATCATCCTAAGTTATATAGGCTAGCAGTACACAAGAGAATGTTACTTATCCTAAGCTGTAAGACCTGGCGGTGTGGCAAATTGTAAAGCATGTTAGCTTTAAAACAGCAAGTTTTGGTGATGGCAGAAAAGTAGTCTGGTTGTTCACAATGGTACTGCAGATAGAGTGGACATATTCCTGATGCAGGATGGAGCTGCAGGTTAACATTAGTGTTGTGTTTCCCTCCCTCTCGCCTCCTTGGACCAAAAAAGAGAGAGTGAGGAACTGTTAGAAAATTTGTTTGTGGCTTAGAAACAGCAAAGTCTCAGCAGTGACCAGTAAAGATGGCAGGAACTCTGGGAAAGCTTGTGATGGGTGAGGCATGTAAAATGCAGGAGGTTTTGGATTCTCAAGACATCAGGACAGTCACATCTACATGAAGTGCCAGAGGGTAGCAGTCCTTGAACAACACGTGGCTGATTTGGAGCAGTGACTCTTCTCATTGCACACCATACAAGGAGGAGCGATGTTTCTGGGACAGTCATACCAGAGGGTGGTCACTCCACATAACGAAAAGTAGGCAAGGAGGAGTGCAGAGATGGCAGTGAATGGGTAACCATTCACTGAAAGGGAAGGAGGATATTAATGAGAAAATAAGGAAGAAAAAGGAGGCATATGATGCATACTGGAATAATAATAGCAATAGAAATCAGGAAGGGTATTCCAAATGCAGAAGACAGGCAAAGGCTGGAATAAGGAAGGCTAAAAGGAAGCATGAAGAAAGGATGGCAGGCTGCTCTCAAACAAATAGTAAAATGTTCTTCAAGCATATTAAAGTAAAGATTAGTGAAGGATAGAGTGTGGCTCATAAGGAACATGCACAATAAGCTGCTCACTGAAGCAAAAGATATGGCAGAGTTATTAAATGAATACTTTGCATCTATCTATACCATACTATAAAATGGACACAATGGCCCAGTTGAAAATATGGGTGTTAACGAACTGAACAGTGATAGATAAAGAAGAGGTACTAAAAATGATGGCTGCACTCCATGTAGAGAAGTCATCAGGCCCAGATGGGATGTATCCAAGATTGCTGAGAGAGGTAAAGGAGCAAATCACAAGAATAATTTCATGCCTCTCTGATTAATCCTGGGGAACTGTAGGATTGCAAATATGGTGTTAAGAAAGGGACACAGGTTAACCCAGAAAACCATAGACCTATGACCTTGACATGAGTAGTGGGAAAACTGATCAAAGTCATAATGGAATATGATAGATACATACTTGGAGAAAATAAGGTAGTATTAGACAGTCAACGTGGCTTTGTCAAGGGCAGGTCATGTCTGACAAATTTGATTGAAATTTTTGATGAGGTGACGCAGGCAGTGGATGAGGGTGGTGCTGTGGATGTTGTATATTTGGACTTTGAGAAAGCATGTGATATGGTGCCACGTGGCAGATTGGTGAGAATGCTTGGGATTGATGGGTTCTAAGCAGTATGGATTAGAAATCAGCTAAAAGATAGGAAAAGAAAGGGTAGGTTTGGGTGGGTATTTCTCAAATTGGAGACGAGTTGATAGTGGTGTTCTTCAGGAATCATTGTTGAGATCTTTGCTTTTACTGACTTACATAAACCAATCAAAGATGGGTGTTGAGGGCAAAATATCTAAATTTGTAGATAATGCTAAGCTATGTAGAATAGTGAATTGTGAGGATGACACTGAGTGACTTCAGAGGCACGTTGACAATTGGCCAAATGGGCAGACACCTAGCAGATGAATTTCAACGCAGAGAAATGTGAGGTAATGCATTTTAGTGGAAGAAGCATGTGTAAAAGTAAAGGAATTGATGCTACACCTCTACAAATCATTGGTTAGACCACATTTTAGTATTGTGTTCAGTCTGGACACCTTATTTAAGGAAAGATGTTAAAACCTTGGACAGACTTCAACGAAGATTTACTAGAATGATACCAGGAATGAGGAATTTTAGATACAAGGAAAGACAAGAGAAATTGGGCATATTCTCCTTGGAACAGAGATGATTCAGAGGTGATCTTTTTGAGGTATTCATAATTATGAACAATTTTGACAGGGTAAAGATCGATATTCTGTTCCATTAATGATATGTCATTAACTAGGGGTCAAAATTTCAAGATTATCAGCAGGGGACGTCAGAGTAAGATGAAGAGAAAACACTTTACTTGGAGTTGTTAGGATTTGGAATGCACTGCCTGGGAGAGTGGAGGAGGAGGATTCCGTACGAGATTTCAAAAGACAGCTGAATACATATTTGGAAGAGATTAATTTAGAGGGCTATGGAGATTGGGCTGGAGAATAAAATTAGCTGGGTAGCTCTTTTGGGTGCAAGTACAGAAATAATGGGTCAAATTGCCATCTTTTGCACTCTAAAATTCTATGATTCTATTTGTTCAAATCACACGTGCAATCAGCAGGAGGAGGTTGACCAAGATCGTGGCTAAAGTAATTTGCTGGTATCGAGAGGAATGTTCAGTGCAGTGCATGAGTAAGTGATAACTATGGGCCATAACATTCTTTCACCATGATAAAACTGGATACACTCCTCATGCAGGTGAAGATGGAGAAGATGGCAAAGTTAACAGTTGGTCATACTTCTGTCTCACCGCACTCCTCTGGGTATTAAGAGTTTTTTTAATTGAATCAACAGCCATGGCTGCATGAGCACATCTTTATTATTATCATTATTGATCATCACCACCAATGGTGTTTCTTTCAAAAGCATGTACGCTGTGATATGCCACATAATGAAGCATTACAGTCAGGCTGTTTAACATATTGCTGTCCT